CAGGACCGATGGTTTATTTCTAGCCCCATGGGTGTAAACAAACTTAATGATCTAATGAATGTCAAAAAATGCAGGCCTACCTGACAATAAGAAAACCACAAACACGAGTGTCCGGAAAACCCTTGTCCAAAGGATGACGGATTCGAATGTCCCTGATACATTACAAGTGTACGTAACCGGTCACAAAAACATTCAGTCATTGAATAACTACCGCACACTAAACGACTCACAGAAATACGCAATAAGCAGTATTTTATCAAATTCATCCTGTGATAATTCCTCACTGGTTCCATTCTCAAATGCTTCTGCACCAAAACATTCTCGTTTTGAATGTCATCAACCAGAGCGCTGCCCAGTTCTACAGTGACAAACGCACTCCCGTCCTTCGAATTGACACCGATTTCAGATAATACCGCCATTGAAACTCAAAACAACCAGGTCAATATGCAGCGTTCCACAAGCTCACAACATTCTTTTGGATCCATATTTAGCGGGTCTCAAATACATGGACACATCACTGTTAATATCACAAACAATACTTACTTATCTCGGAAGCGAATCCGTGTTATTGACTCAGACTCTGACAAGGCTTTTCAACATGTTTCACAAATGCATATGTAGGTCACATTAGGCCTATGCAAAGACATTTCGAATATAAACATTCCTTCTTATTTAAAATTTGTAATAATTTATAATAATAATATCATATATCATTAAAATGTTGTTCTTTTATTTATAAAATTAAATTTATTTTCATTCAAACGACTGCTGTTTTTCACGTTTTGAATAGCACTATTTGTAGCTGGCGGAAGGATTTTTCTGAAATGAATTATACGGTCACGGATGTTTTTTTTACTATTCCAGTTTATATCATAAAGACATTTTTAAGGGGATTGAAATTTATTTTTTTAGTTTACACATTTTGTGTAAACCATTTTCAGGTATGATTTCTCAGATGGTGTATTCAGATTTTTAATTTGATGCAAAATAAAAAAAGTAATTTTTTAATGGCGCTGACAGACCGTTATTTGGATAAAATAATGCGAGAAAAATAATCATTCATTACACACTCGTGTGGGATAGTGAAATTCCACCGAGGGGCAAAGCCTCGTCCTAGACCGTGAATCTTGTCCCCTCGGTGGAATTTCACTATCCCACACTCATAGTAATGAATGATTCTATTAGTCCATCCTGTTAAGAAATTTAATTATTAGATTATTTATCACTTCATTTTTTGTTTATTAAAGGTACTCTATGCTGTTGCAAAACTAGGAATTTTTCATATAAATTTTAAGAAAAACAAATGATAAAACTTAAATATGTATATAAATACCAGGATAATTTGTCCCTCCTGTTACAATTTCTGTCCATTCTGTTACAAGAATGCATGTTTAAGTTATAATGGCACTATTTGAAGCACAGACATATTTCAATATGATTTACGAAGTTTTTAACATGTGTAATTAAACTTTTATTACTTATAAAAATAATAGTAATTGTTTTTATTGTTAAAACTCAAGATATGAAGTTCAGTTTTCCATACTGTTACCATGTTAATGGTAACAGGAATGACAGTAACAGGATGGACGTTTCTCTTATAAATCACCCGTTATATAGTATAATGTACTCTTTATGCATCATCGAGACATGGAAACCATTTCTTTGTAACCTAGTTCATCTAATTGTTCTAGCAGAATAAACAATTTAAAGAGTACTTGCATATTATGAAGGTAACAGATCGAGAGGACTTATTTTCATTAAACACTACCAATAAGACAAACTTATCGACCTTTGAACCCTTTCTTTATTCACTTTCAAATCATGGCGCTCATAAACTTAACATAACAGAAAATGATGATATATTCATGATATTGAGGATCGTGAAAACAGTTCCTAGGAAAGTGAGATAACTTTTATTTTAACATTTACTTTTTGGTGATAGGAATGACATAAACTGGTTGGACATGTCACTTCCTGAATGTTAAATGCAAAATACTAGTGTTTAGTGGGCGGCATAAGTAAAACACCCATATTAGATTAATCTGAGAATGAATTCAATTAATATGATGTGCAAAATTTGTACATATCTTCACAGGGTAATATTTTCCCTATCATTTAACTAAACGCGTTATAAAATTTCTGTTAATGTGACATGGTTTACTGTTAAATTTGTCTTGGAATGCATAGAATATTTTTTATAAAACACCTGGGAGATGATCATAAAATAACTAATTATAAGCTGTATGACCATGTATATTAACTCTTTTTATTCTGATCAAAGGACAACAAAGTGAACTTTTTTTTAAAATGACACATATTTGAAACTCTTAACTCTAGGAAATTATGTAGTCAAAATTGTTGGCATGACTGTAATAAACATGGGACCATGTATCTTCATCTTAAAATTCATAGCCTAAGGGTAAAGGATTTTTTAGTTATAGGGTGGTATTCTCATGATAATAGAGTAATTGCATAAGATCTTTTAAAATATTCTTATTTCTCTGTATTTTCAGGTGTATGATTGAGAAGAGCAAGGTTTTCTCTTCCAAAATTGATATAATGTGAACAGGAGTGCTTCTCCAAATTTTTGTAAAAATAATGATCTCAGGGTCCGGAGTTCTAATAAGTTGATGGTCTTATATTCATACAGTGTAAATGCATTAAATGAAGCGAGCTATTGACAAACAAGTTGGAGAAATAAGAAAATCAACAGTTTCGTTTTAAGTCATCATTTTTCAAGTTATATGATCAATACAATGAATCCTGCAAATGCAATTTATCATCAAGTCAAATGCTGACTAATGTTTTTCATACTGATCGTTAGGTCATTATCTACACACTGAATATTCATCACGTTTTCTCTTTTTTCCTCGATCTTGAATAGGAGTAGCTGCAGAACTTTAGCGTTAAGGTTTTTTACATTAGACTTTGACCATAAGATTCCGTACTGCAAAAAAAGCAATTTACGGCGCAAGATTTTTTTGCGCACTTTTGGGGAGAATTTCTCAACTTTCCAGCATCGGTCAATCAACTACTTTTCACATCCTAGATTTGGACACATTCTTTAAGCAACTTGCTATTTTATTTTCTTCCTAACCTTTTATAATTGTTTCTACAGGGAGTAAACAATAGCTTGATTTGAATTGCCTTGGATTTCAGAATATTCAAATCAAGCGAGTTAATCGCTCGTAGACGACAATAGTCAGAGCAATATTGATTAAATAGAAAAAAATGCATAATTTCTTATTTTTAAAAAAAGGCTTCTTTTTGTCCCTTTAAATGAAGCAAACAAAAGTACATGTACATATTAAAAAAAAGTTATGCTGAGCAAAGGCTCTTCTCCAAATTGAATTTCACGACTCCTGGATAAGTGGCGGGGGTGTTCTGTTGATATTATAGAAACCCCGATTATTTCTTCGAAAAAAAAAATGCTCTTAGGATTTAAGCAAACAAGTTCAGTGAATGGTTACATTGAGTAAGGATGCTTCTTCTAAAATTTTTAATGCCATAGACCCTATTCAGAGCTTAATTGGTGTTAGGCCAGGGCCTTACAGATGATATTGAAAAAAGGCATTATTTATTTGGCAATCTTTTTCTCTGTTACTGAGTATTCATAAACAATCTAAGTGCATTGTATTGATGAAAAGAGGTGCCTTTTCAAAAATTTTATGGTCCCTTGGTAAAGACTCTGATGTTAAAACTGTTCTCTATTCAAATTTTAAAAAATCTCTTCTGATTCTGGTTAGTAAATAAACAAATTAGTGCATGGTTGTGATGAGCAAAGTTCTTTTGGAATTTGTTGTTCCTCGGTCAGGGGAGAAGTAGAAAGTAGATTCTAAATTGTCCAAATCTCAACCTCCTTAGGGGTAAGGTGGGGCCACAATAGGTGTGACGAAGGGAGAAATCTGGTGAAGAATAGCATGGCAAAAGATACATAGGTGAGCGTTGCGGCATCTTGTTTCAATAATCTTTTCTGATTATGTGAATTAAGCTCAGACAATGTTAAACATGTAGTATGCAAATTTTATGGCCTGTGGGTCAAGGATTCATGTGATAAGTCGGAGCTCTGTATGTTATACTGTGAAAACGCATTATTAACGTTGAACATCTTTGCACCTGGTTATTTAGCACACATCTAACGTGCATGGTAATTGTAAGTAAGGGTGCCTCTACCAATTCTGATAATCAAACCTCAAAGGTTTTCAAATAATCAAAGGTTTTATTTTGGTTCTTTTGATCATAAAGTAAAGTTAATGGTTTTTGTAGATTCTAAATTATCCAAATCACGACCCGCCCCTAGGGATAAGGTGCAGCCACAAAAGGTATTACGAAGGAAGAAATATGGTAAAGAACAGTATTACCAATGATACATAGGTGAGCGTTGTGGCCCATGGGCCTCTTTTTTTATCATCTTTTCTGATTCTGTGAATTAACCTTAGAAACTAACAAGTTTATCTTTTAAAAAAAAATAGGTGAGCTAGCACCGTAGCAATTTTTTAAACACAGAAAGAAGGATCCGTGATCAAGTGATTTATTTTGCTAAATTCTTTAATTTTTATGGCAGCTGGAGAGTGATAAATTTAAAATTGTTTTGTGAAATGTGTTTTATAGACACATACATGAAGGTAAAGAAACGAAGGGGGTGACCTATTTTGGCGCAACGGACATTTATGACCTTTACTGGAGAGGGGGAGACTCTATACCGTAAATCTGGAATTTTTTACGTCGATTTTATTTTGCGAATTCGGGTCAATATGCTGTTGATTAATTTTTACGTTTCAAAATTTTGCGAATGACCACTGCTTTGTTTATATTTTCTTATTGGTGATTTATTTTTAAGAAAAATATTTTTGCGAATGCAATGCACTCGCAAATTTGCTAAAAATTTATCTACAGCAAAAGTTTCCTGATTTACGGTATAACTATACGAGGGTTGTTCGATATGTATTGTGCATTGTACGATATCTCAAAAGCATTCGATTCAAATAGTCAAATGGACATTACATCCCTTCAAAGTATTCTCCGTGATTTGAAATACACAATTTTAATCTCTGAATCCATTTCTGAAATGCGTCACGGTACGCTGATTTAGGTATACCTCTGAGGCACTGACTGACGGCTGAGCCAAGGACCTGTCGGGACTTGTATCGGCGACCAGATAAGAACTTTTTAAGTTTTGGAAAAAGGAAAAAGTCGCATGGTGCTAGATCCGGAGAGTATGGTGGGTGTGGCAAGACGGTAACCTTCTCAGACTTCAAAAATTGCTTCACAAGCTCAGATGTATGTGATGGAGCATTATCATGAAGAAGGCGAACATGCCTAAATCCCGACACAGGACGTCGTTTCTGATAATATTTCTTGAGCTTTTTCAGTACAACATCTCGGTAATACTGACCAGTAACACTTTTGCCCTTCGGCACCGGAATTTGTACGGCTAAACCATCACAAGAGAAGAATATGCAATAAAGGACCTTCTTTGTGCTCATTGTCCTTTTGGCAACTACAGGCCTTCTACCGTGTTTGGTTAACCATAATTTGTTTCCAACTTTTCTTACTGGTTCGAAATAGTGAACCCATGTTTCGTCACCAGTAACTATGTTTTCAAATTGTCTTTGATTGAAGTTTGGAAACATTTTTAGCAGTCGCTTAGCGGTTGTATTCGTACCTTTTTTGGTCATCTGTCAATATATGGGGTATCCATCTGGCAGAAATCTTTCGTACTTTCAAAATACGCTTCAAAATGAAATGCACCCCCGATAGCGATATGCCAACAGCTTTGGCAATATCACGAATCGTGTACCTGCCATCATTTTCAATTATTTCCTTGACTTTTGAGACATTTGTCTTGCCTGATACAGTCACAGGTCGACCCGATTTTGCTGCATCTTTGACGGACTCTGTGCCAGTCAGAAATTTCTGTCTCCACCTACGAACTGTCTCATAAGATACCTTATCAGACCCATAAACTTCCCCCAATTCAGTAAAAATCTGCTTTACCGAATTACCGAGTTTTGTGCGAACTTTTATATAAGCTCTAATTTCTTCAATATTCTCAACCCTTTTTCCAACCATTTTTACAACAGTGGTCAACGACTGGCTCTATTGAAATGACGATTATTTTATAACCATGTGTAGATGAAGGCTCGTGTTTATACTGTTGGCAAGGTATTGAATAGAGTTATCCAGGCGTATAAATATCGACGAAATCGTGCAAGGTGTTATCGCGCTGTGATACAATACACAATACATATCGAACAACCCTCGTAGAGACTCGAGAGCGCTAGCAAATAGATGGTTATAGTTTGCAATTTTTACGGCCTCTGGGTCAAGGATTCAGGTAATAAGTCGGAGCTCTGTTAGTTATACAGTGAAAACACATTATTAACGTTGAACATCTTCATTGCACCTGGGTATTTAGCAAACATCTACTCTGCATGGTAATTGTGAGCAAGGGTGTCTTTTCTTATTCTGATTATCAGGCGTTATGAGTCAAGGTTTGGTTTTTGACTCTATTGATCAAATGTTTTCTTTGAACATCTTCTCTAAACCTGGATATTAATCAAACAATGTATGATTATAATGAACGAGGGAACCTTATCTAAAATTATTTAAATTCTAGGTCTGTTATTGATTGTAAAATTCTTGGAAAACCTCTCTTGGGCTTTTATGAAGCAAACAGAGACAAAACAGAAAAAAAGTTGGAAAGACTTTATAGAGGACAACTTTTTCAGTTCATGATTTTGTTTCCAATATAAGATTTTTTTTTATCAAAGTTGTCGATAAAATGACCGTGTCAGCAAAATCAATTTATCACTGAGTCAAACGCTGACTGAAGTTTTTCATACTAATTGTTAGTCCATTATTTATACACTGAATTGACGACGTATATTCCGTTATTTCCCGATCATAACAAGGAGCACACGGCGGGTATGACTGATCGGCAGGGGATGCTCACTACTCCAAGGCACCTGATCCCACCTCTGATGTTTTGGAGGTCCGTGTTTGTTCTGCTAATATTTTGTATTGTTTATTAGACTTATGAGCTTGAATATTGTTCGTTATCTCCATATATTTCATTGTAGATACCTAAAAACACCGTTATTAGCAGACCTATTTTAATATTCATATAAAAGCAGAATTTATTCAGAAACTTCTACATGACTAGACTGGATATGGTCTCTTGCTAATGCCTTCAATTCAAAATTAAGATATATCGACGATATTTCATCATTTCATCATACATTTTCATTCTACCTTGATTTGATATATCTTAACTCGAAATTTAAAAAAAACTAGAGAGTATGGCACATCTGATTCGTATTTGGATATTTTACTAGAAAGAGATTTTAATGGAAACCTAATACAACTTCATGATACACATGATGATTTCAACTTCTCCATCGTCAACATTAGTGTATGTACCTATGTACTTTTCTCACTGAGTATACGTGGTTGATATCTGTCATTTGATTTGATACTCAATAGCATGCTTTACGTACAAACTATTTCAAAAAACGAGTAAAGCTCAATAAAATAGAGTAAGATTGTTCTCTACTTAGAAATTAAAAAATCTCCTCTGTTTCTGGTTATAAAGCAAACAAAACAAGTGCATGGTTGTGATGAGCAAATTTATTCATTTGGAATTTGATGGCTCTTTGGTCAGGGGAAAAGCAGATATATTAAAGTGTAGATTCTAAATTGTCCAAATCACGACCCACCCCTAGGGGTAAGGACTTTAGGTGGGACGACAATGGGTATTACCAAGGGGGCAACTTGGTGAAGAACTGCATGTCCAAAGATGCACCTGGGTATTTAGCAAACATCTAATGTGCGTGGTAATTGTGGATAAGGGCGCCTCTTCCAATTCTGATTGTCAGATTTCCTTAGTCAAGGTTTGGTTTTGGCTTTGCTGATGATATATTAAGTTAATGGTTTCTTTGAAAATCTTCTCTGTTCCTGGGTATATTAATCAAACAATGTATGTTTATAATGAGCGAGGGAGCCTTATCCAAAATTGTTTAAATTCTAGGTCTGTTATTGATAGAAAAATTCTTGGAAAACCTCTCTTGGGCTTTTATGAAGCAAACAGAGACAAAACAGAGAAAAAGTTGGAACGACTTTTAATAGAGGACAACTTTTTGTTACATAATGCCATTGTGTACCTCAGTCCTATTCTATTTTTTGATTGGATACATATTTCGGGTTTCGCATAGCAAAACATTGATACTGCCATTCTTTCTATGATATTGAAGGGTACCCATCTTTTGTACGCAGCTCATCCTATACCACTGAATAAAATTTAATTATACTTTCACAGATTCTTTATTATTTTGCACCTCCTCTTTTACTTTCCGATCTGACACTTTTTTGTGTCTCCAAAGAGCAAAAAGATGGACTTTACCATTATAATTATATGGGGGCGAGGTATCATTCAATAACCCCAATGCTCACAATACCTCTAGTTTAAATTGTAGATACCTAAAAACACTGTTTTGACCAGGCCTATTTTTACATTCATATAAAAGCAGAATTTCTACAGAAACATCTACATGAAAAGACTTGGTCTCTTGCTAAGGCCTTCAATTCAAAATTAAGATATATCGAAGACGTTTTATCAATTCCATCATACATTTTCATGATATATCTGAACTCGTAATAAAAAAAAATACTACAGAGTCTAGCTGACACATCTGATTCATATTTGGATATTTTACTAGTAAGAGATTTTAATGGAAATCTTATTTTTAAAATACAACTTCATGATAAATGTGATTTAAACTTGTCTATGGTCAACATCACTTATTTAGATAATTGTATGTACTTATGTACTCTTATCACTGCGTACGGGATTTATATCTCTCATTTGATTTGATACTCAATAGCATGATCTATACGTACAAACAATGTCTGAAATGAGTTCAGCTATTGACAAACAATTTGATCAAACAAGAAAATCAACAGTTTCTTTTAGAGTCAACAATTTGCATTTTCTACGGTCGATACAATGACCTTGTCTACAGATACAATGCTGTTATATATCATTAAATTGAAAGTTCTTCCATTTGATCATTAATTCCATTTCTAAATACATGTATAATAATTTTTCCGTACATTCATCAATTATTATTTAATATATAAGCAATTCCTTATTATGTGATTCAAAATGTTCTTTTCATCTATATGTAACAATCAAACAGAATTCTGTTGAAAGAATTTTGTTGTTGTTTTTTTTTTTATACTCTCAATACAACAAATACAATTTTATATGAAATATTTAATTTACAATGAATAAAAATTGTGCATATATACAAAAATGTTGGTTGTTTAAGATATATTTTGAATGTTTATATTGTCTGATAACATTTCCCATTTCTTCCACTGTAGCAACAAGACAGTGTACATTATAAGCGGTATATTTTTTGTCTTTTCACTGACATTCCCCTATTGGTTGTAATGGGCTGTGAGGCTCACCGCCACGATGAAAATGCCGTACATAAAGAACACCAGAATTCCAAACAGAACACGTTCGGATTTCGTCAGAGGTTTATCCGGGCTCTCAAATTCATTCTCTATTGCAACTTCTGGAACCTAGAAGATTAAAACACAGTCAAATTTTTTCTGACCAGACGTTCCTCAGATATCCATTTTTTCCATTCGTAATAAATTAAATTATTCTCGTAATAAACAATATCTTGTAATTCATATATAATGTTTTCAAAATGTTTAAAAAATGCAATATTGGGGGGGGGGGGAAGAAATGAAAAATAATCCTAAAATAAAAAATGTACCAGATTATATTTTTTTCAATATCAATTCCATAAGTTATCAAGATTTATTAATATATAATCATATCCTAAACTAAATCAAATATAACTACCCCGGTAATCATAAATGTGTGACCTAGTGACGAGCATGGGGTCACAAAAAGGGGCATAAAATGTGACAAGTTCTATTCAAGAAATATACTTTATCGTATTTTTTGGACACCTTCAATATAGCTAAGGGTTTTCGTCTGTTAACTTTTTACATTTAACATGCATCCATTAGATAACTGTGAAGAATCAAGATCTACATTCAAAATTATTTTTCAATGATCTGCAGGTTAGTTCTGATTTCAGAAAACCAATAAAAACATAAAATCGACATTTTAGCAGAAAATCAAACCGTGAAAGACTTTATCAGATAAACAAACCTTGTCTCTTTTAATCACGGATCAGGTGGTCGTATTTATATGTCATGTGTGTATGTTATTTCCTTTTGGGGTTCGATTTGTCAATTTGATTTCTTTCCAATACGAATCTACAAGAGTCCTAAAAAAGAAAGCTCTAATACTGATTTAATGTCTCTGACTTCACTTACCTGTTTTTCCCTGGATGCCATTTTGAATCACTCCAATAAATAAACACTGGTAAGGTTGAGTGATTTTATGACATCTTATAAACTGTACTATATAGCAGGTGTGGGAAAAAGCCCCCTGGTGTACGTAAAATGCACTTTAAACATAAAAATATAATATTAATAAGCTTCCACTGTTCCTAATGTCCTATGATAACAATTTTCCCCTTAAGGATTCAAGTTAAAATCTTCATTTAATCTAAAATTTTCAAATCCGTACACAAGTATTCTTTTCCCCCAATATACATGTATTTTCATTAAAAATATTGCCTATTTGGATATTTTGCCAAAGAAAACAGTGACACAAAAAGACTTAAATTGTTCCTTCATACATAGAACTGGATGTTAAACGATTTACAAACTTTTTGTCTATATTGTTACATGCATGCAGCTTGAGGAGGGTGCCAATGTGCGAAAGAAGCAACTTAAGCCCATGGTTTGATTTGATTGAATGGTTCTATCGTTTAATTGTCCCAGAAGCATGAACAGGACCTGTAATAAGGTGAACAAAACTCCAATTACGCAGATAGCCTAACGCCTAGCCTAAGTTATCGCCCTTTACACTTTAAATTACATTCATTTTTTAAGCAAAAATACACAGTTTGTAAAATCCAATTTAAAGTAGGCACTCAAGAATAAACATTTTATAATTTCTGTAGTAGTAACTTAAGAATATT